GGGAGCTGGAGCGCAGCAGGCAGGTGGACCCGCCAAACCCGCGTGCTAAGAAGCGCCCAGACAGGCTGCAGAGCGGCCAGGCGCGTCTCCGCTCCGCATCTTTACCCCGGGGTTAATGACCTCGTCAGCGCCCCCTCGTTCCAAACCGCCCAATTACAACTCCTCGGGCTCCTTGATACTCTCCGATTAATTGGTGGGTTCAGGAGGATGGGGGTGCCCCTCTGCCAGGGATCTGGCAGGGTTTCGCTAAATCGTTTGATAATTGTGGGAAGGAAGGTCGCATCCGGGGAGAGGAAACCCAGGGCTGGGAATGGGGTTAAGTCGATGCTGGCGCCAGCGGCCTGGAGGAAGCAAGCAAACTGTTCAGGGACAGTCGAAGTAGTCAGGAGAACTGAGATCCAGAAACTGGGACCCATTCCCATTCTGAGCGAGAAATCAGAAGGAAGATGCTCACTCCGTAAGGGCGAGGGAGCCCGGCATGACGCCGGTCCCCGACTCCCGTAGGTCCTCGCCACTGCTCTGTCCCGCGCGCCCAGATTCCGCTTGCGGCGAGGCCCTGGGTCAGCGTTTACAGTCGCCCCCTGCGCTGGTGGCTGGATAGAGCCTCCCCATCCCACTCTACCTCTTCCCAGCCCTTGGCTTTGCGGCGTCTGAGGGCGCACCCGTGTAATTGCGACCCCATTTCGCCCCTTTAAGTGCCGCTTCCGGACGTCCGCTGGTGGAGAAAGCCGCCTTTCTAATCTCTCTGCTAGGCTCCCGCCTCCGGACTGCAGGGGCCCCAAGCTGGATCCTCCCAGGCTTCCAGATTCCACCCCTGAGGCGCCAGCCCGCGGCTGGTCTGTCTGCGGATGGGCCTGGAGGCGCGCGCAACGCCGAAGTGCCCCCGACCCTCCACCGAAAGCCGCCTCAGCCGCTCACGCTCGGCCACGCTCCCGTCCCGCAGACTTCCTGTCCTCCTGCTCGCAGCGGGAAGGCAGTCGCGGAGCAGGCCGGCAGCTTGCACCGAGATCTTCACTGCGAGCGGAGCCCCCAAACGAAAGTGCTCCCCAGAGGAGCTCTGCGGGGTGCGCGCCGTCGGGGACTCGGAAATCCTAGACTGAGGACTTGGGTATGTTCCTCGCAGTCGCAAGCAGGTCAGGAGTCCGCAGCGGAGGGGCGCAGCGGTCTCCAACCCCTGGTTAAGACTTCCCCGACCACTCTACCCCCGTGAGACCTGGTCCCACGGCAGTGACGCTGTCTCCCCCAGGACCCGCAGCAGGAACAAGCCAGGGACCTCTCAGCGCCCAGGAGGAGCCCCGAAGGGAGAAGATTGCTGAGGGGAGCCACGTTCCCTCTGGTTCACGTCGGAGCCTAGGAGACCCGGTCCCGGGCCAAGGAGTGAACCGACTGAAGAAGTGGTAAGAGGAGGTTTAATAAGTAGAAATTTGGACCCTCTCCCCTTTTATTGTTTTAAAGCGTGAGGTATCCTCTCTCTCCGTAAAGGAGTTTCCGGAGTTCTGGCGGGTTCCTGCGGGTCTGCGCACAGCACTGGCGCTGGCCATTATATAAGGGGTAACTTTTCTGGGTAGTTGAGGCTTAGGAGTTCATAGTTATTTTTCAAATTATTATTATTATTTAATATCCAGAATATTTCGGACTTAAGCCCTCATCTTCACTCCAACGGAAATATGACAGTACTTCAAAAGAGGAGGGCTGGGAAGGAAGCAACTCAGACCAGCCCCAAGATGGGTGAGGGGGTAGGGGTGATAGTGCTTCAGTCTTAATTATGCCTAAAAGGTAAAGGCTGTTATTCCTGTAACTGAGGCTGGGGAGAGGGCAGGAGGAGGTTGGAAGGGAAGGTGGGCCGAGGGTGGTCACTCCCGCATCCTCTTGAGAAAGGAGGCATCTGGGTTCCAGGCACAACTTTTAGGCCCTGAGTTGCCATTGCCCTTTGCTTTATGTAGACAGCGGTGGCAAGAGGAACACTGCCACCTGAGTGTCTTTAAAGGTGAAGTTTGGCCTGGTAAGCACGGAGATCAGCGAAAGAGAAAAAAGTAAAGACCTACACAGATCAACCATGCTTGGTCTCAGCATTTTCTAGACACAAACTTCCCTATCAATCTAAATAGTTATTAATCCGATGCTAAGGAGACTGAAACCCTCTGAAATTGTGGGATTTCAGGGTTCAAGCCAGATGTTATTTTTTGAGAAGCGCTGGGAAGGGAAGGAAGTAAGAGGAGGCAGAGCAAAAGGAGGTGAGAGGCCCCAAATCTAGCTCCTTAAACACTGAGCTCTGAACCCCTAAGCTCTGAAACTCAGGCTGACTCCATGCACACATTGCCAATAGAGTGAAAAGGTGGGAGGCAGTCAACAAGACAAATCTCTATGGCTTCCAGGATGAGTCTGGATGTCTAAGTAGATTACAAATCTGGATGTTGTCAAGATTTTTTTTTCCTTCTTTCAACTATTCCTGATTTTTGGCCCAAAGTAGGTTTTGGGGCCCTTGAAGCAGCTAGGCAGGAAAGAGACCTTGACCTCCAGTCCTCTGATCTCCCCACTACCTGGTGAAGAGCCCAAGGTTCCACACCAGCAGGCAGGGGCAGAACTAAGCCTGCCCTAGGCCAAAGCTCAGTCAGTGGCTGGCCTTGCCCCATCCCTCCCAACCCCCCAAGCCCTCAGGACTCCTTTCTCTATGAGCCCAGGCCTCCTGGCCAAACTGAAGACTCAGACTCCCTCCACATCTGGCCACCCAAATAACAATGGCAATTTTTTCTTTCCCCATTTTTGAAACTTGCAGAAGCCCCAAATCCTTAGTTTCCCTTGAGGAAGATAGTGCCATTGGATCTTGGGGTGGGAGTGGGGAGGGTGGTAGAATCAAATGACCTCTAAGCCAGGGAGGGCAGGGTCTGCTATGACAACTTGGAGGTTTCAATCACAGTTCTGGGTAAACTGTGTCAAATATTCATGGCTTCCCCTCTTAGTCCCTGCCCTTCGAGCCCAGAAAAGCCAGGGATTTTCTGTCTTTCTATGTTTGGAGAGAGAGAGAAGACAAAACCTGGAAGTAAAAGAGAGATGAGGGAGGAGGAAATGAGGGACAGAATCCAATGGATTAAAACAATCAGACTTTCTTTCTAACCCAACAGCACTTGAAGCCTGATATTTATTTTGATCTGGCCAGGAAGAGAAGTTGGAGGCAGGGTGGGTAAGAAACTTGGCTCCCAGCCCAAGGAATGCTTCTGTTGTCCTGGGGTCAGTGCCTTCTGAAGTAGTGAGAAGGTAGAACTGACAGTCATCTGTTGGGGGGGGGAATGTCCTAGGTCTTTCAAATTGCAGTGTGGGAGAGTGAGGCTCTTCCTAAGGGCTTCTGAGGTCTCCCCACAGCACCTTGTCTGGGCTAGAAAAGCCTTTCCTTGCATTTCTTCTGGGGCAGCGTGTATGTGTACGTATGTGTGGGGATGCAGTTCTAAACCCCAGCAGAGGGTGGGCAGCTCTCCTCCTGGGGTACCCAGGGTTATATGTTTGGGAGTGGAGGAGGCTTCATCTCTTCTGGACTGGAGGAGTGGGGAAGCATCTTTGGACTTGGAGCCAAGTGCTCCAGACTCTAGGGAAAGGGAGGAGCTGCAGCTCCAAAGGGGGATTTGGAGGGAAAAGCATATTAGGAAAAGCCCAGACTCTCTTCCTCAAAGGATTAGGAACCTGCGCTGAGAAACTTCCACTCACATGCTCTCCGTTATGGATCTCTGTGCTTCTCTTTATACTGAAAAGCACAGTTCTGTGCAGTAAGTTGCCACATTCAGTGTATATGGGATACGTGAAATATATTGTGCATTGTTCTACTTTGGGATTTGGGTGGGGGTTGGCATATAGGTGAAAGCATTAATTTCCCAATCTGCTACCTTTATTACTGAGCACAACTGGGTATACATAACTTCGTGTCTCTTTTGCACGTCTGTAGCAATCCTCAGTCTTTACACAGTGCTTAACTACTCTGAGAGGCACATTTGCTCTCATGCAGGATTCCTCACTGACCCCTGCGGGTCATTAATTCTTTGGAGACCCCACAATGCCCACGATGGCGGATACACACCCCGTTATGCGTACTTCTGTTCATATGCCTTTTCAAAGGTGAATAATTTTTGTATTGAGGCATGAGTCAGTCCATACAGATTGAGATACTTTTCCTGCCTCCTGCCCACTCCCATACACAACAGGCCCCTCTGCAAAAATGCACACGCAGCGTTTTTGTGAGTGTGAGTTTCAAGTAAGATGGCGGCGCCTGGCATCTCTTCAGATTCAGATATGCTCGGCCACCGGAGCCCCAGCACAGTCCAGAGGGGAAGGAAACCTACGTCCCCTTGCCGCCCCAAAAGGCCAAAGAGACTCCTCCCCCATTCCCTCCACGGGAACGAGAGAGAGAAAGACAGAGTGAGAGAGAGAGAGGGAGAGAGAGAACACTGATTCTGCACCTTGGGGACGTGGGGGCTCCCGTCTGGACCCAGGCCAGTTTCTAATTTCTATCTGAAGAGTGGCCATTTTCCCTTTCCAAGCGATTCTTCGCCCCCCACCCCGCCCCAGGCAGCTCAGGGCAGCTGCCCCTGTCTCTTTGGCTACATCCCTTGGAATCCAGGACTGAGACCAGGAAGACCAGGAGGAGAGGGCCTCAGGCTGGGCGGAGCACTCAGCACCGGGCTCCGGGGAGCCAGAGTTGCGGATGGAACGAGGGGAGGCGACCCTCTTCTCCCATACACACCTTCTCTTGGAGAGGAAGGGTCGGGTGCGAGCGAGCAGGGAAGTCAAGGCGTTTCGGGTGCGCCCTGAGGCCCCACTAGGAAGCTGAACCGGTCTGAAGATCAAGGTTATCCTAGCGGCCCCGGGTAGTCCACGCCCGCCATGGCCAGTCAGTCCTCAAAGCTCGGGCCAAGGAGGCCTCCAGCCTGGAGAAGGGTCTTTCGCCGCAGCTCTGATCCGAGTGGTCGCAGCCCCTCAGCGGCGAGAGAAAGGGCTGGGACCGCCTCACCTACCTCTCGGAACCGCGCCGTACTCCGTGCGTCTTCGTAGCCTACAGGAATCCGAGGCGTCTGGGGACCGAGGTGACCGCGCCCAGGGCGAGGGGTGAGGCGGCTCCATGTGGCCTGCCCGCCTCCACCCCTTTGAGGCCTCTCCGGGCAGTGTTTGTGTCTGGGGCGGCGACGCCGACGGCGCTAGTTGCGTGAAGGGGCTTACGCGGCCTGCGTCCCCCTGGCGCCGGTGAGTTGGGGGCGAAGACGCGGCCCGGGAGGCGGATTGGCGCCGGCGCTTCCTTCCTCCGCGTCTGCACGGGCGGGGCTCCCGCCCATCTCACCTGCCGCAGCCGTGGGGCGCCGTCGGGTCGCCGCGCGGCGGTTCCAAGGATGGGCCTTGCGCGCTTCTGAAAGGCCAGAGCCGCGGAGGAACGGCGCCGAGATGGCCAGCAGAGAAAGAGGGTGTGTGTGTGTATGAGGGAGAGAAGGGGGGTGGAGAAGAGAAAGGGGTTGGTGGGGAAGAGAGGGAGAGAGAGAGAGAATATAACAGACAAGAGAGAAGCAGATTCAAGAGAAACCATCGAGTGCAGAAATAGACAAAAGAAGCAGAGGAGAAAGCAGAATTCGGGGGACAAAAAGAAGCCCTGGGCGTCTGGAGCGAGCGACAAGTTGTCCTTGGGAGTTGGAAATGTGAGAGGGAGGGGCGAGGCCGAGGGAGTCTGAGAAGGGGAGGAGGCACGCAGACCCTCAGCCGGCGACAACCGATCCACGTTTAGGACACAGAATCCCAAGAATGAGAGCGCGGGACCCTCCCCCTGCCCTGTTGCAGCCCATCTCCCGCTCCGAGACTTCCCGCCCTCCTGCTCCTGTCTGGGGCTCGGTCCCGCCTGGAGGGTGGCACCAGGCCGAAGGCTGTCCCTCTTAACTGCCTCCTTTCTTCTGTTCTCTGGGCCTTAAATGGGGTTTTTCCCAAATGAAGGAACAAGACAAGTGAGGCCAGAAGGAATGACCTTGGCCAAGGTTAAAAGGAGAGCTTGGAAATTTCACTTTCCATCCCAGCCCTGGGGACCCCATTGCGTTTTGGCCCCTCCGGTCATTAGAGTGTTATCCTGAAACTACTGGCTCTTCTCTTTATTTCTCTCTGAGACCCAAACGGAAGTTCCAACTTGCCTACAATCAGTGGAACTATGACTAGCAGGCTGAGTTCCAGCCTTCCTGACTGCTAGCTGGAAGTAGTAGCTCCACTCGCCAGACCTCAGACCTGAGACCTTCCTCCTCAACCAGCATGACACTGGGGACAGACATAATCCAGCCACTTCCTGCAAGTGGTTGTCCAGAGGCCGGTAGGAGTGTGTCTGAGATCTGTGTTCTCGGCTTGGCCCTGCCACTGACTTATTGTGGGATCTGAAGTCCTTGTCCTCTTTAGGTCTCAGTTTTTTTCCTTTGTAAAATGGGCAGAGTGATTTATGTTTTGCTTCTGCAGATTCTGGTGAGCTTGAACTGTTGAGAGAAAAATACATCTAAATGGTGATTTTATTCTATATCCACTGAAGCATGAATGTTGAAATACGACAAAATAAAACTTTGCTTCCGTAAATGAGCTTGTTTTATTTTTCTTTTCTTCACTTTTCAATGATATATTTGTGCAGTAAAAGATGCTAATATTAAGGGTATTGGTTCAATTTATTTCTACATATGTACACATCTGTATAACCACAACCTAGATCAAGGTATTTTCAAACACCAGAAGGCTCCCTAGTAATTCCTTTCAATCAATAAGTCAATTATACACACACACACACACACACGCACACACACACAGGCCAGTAACCTTTATTCTGTTTTCTATCACTGTAGATTAGTTTTGTCTATCCTCAGCTTCATATAAACGAAGTCATGAGTACTTATTCTTTTGGTTGGCTTCACTTGCTCAATATTTATGTGTGTGGGACCCATCCATGCTGCAGTATATGGCAGTAATTTGTTCATTTTATTGTCGTGCCATATCCCATTGTATAAGTATAGCACCATGTATTTACCTGTTCAGCTCTCGGTGGACTTTGGGGTTGTTTGCAGTTTGGAGCTATTATAAAAAAGCTGCTATGAACATTTGTGTCTGTGTCTTTTGATGGAGCCAGGAGTGGAAATGCTGGGTCATAGGGTAGGGATATGTTTATCTTAGCTAAATACTGACAGCTTTCCAAAGTGTGTGACCAATTTACACTCCCACCGGTAATGTATGAGAGATCCAGTTGATCCATATTTATAACACCACCTGATATTGCCTATCTTGTTCATTCTAGGAGGTTTATAGTGTTCTTAAAATGTGGTTTCTTGATTGCTTGGATTTTTTTGTGCATTAAAAAAAATGTGGTAAAAACACCTAACGAAATTTACTATCTTAACTATTTTAAAGTGTATGGTTCAGTAGTGCTAAGTACAATCACATTATTGTGCCACAGTTCTCTAGAACTCTTCCATCTCGCAAAACTGAGACTGGATACACATTGAGCAACAACTCCCCAGTCTCCCCTTCTCCCAGCACCTGGCAACCACCATTTTACTTTGTTTCTATGAGTTTAAATACTTTAGACACTGTCTATAAATGTAATCATACTGTATTTGTCTTTTTCTGACCAATTTATTTTACTTAGCTTAATGTGTTCAAAGTTCATCCATGTTGTACCACGTGGCAGGATTTCCTTCTTTTTTTTTTTAAGGCTGACTAATATTCCATTATATTTATATACCACATTTTGTTTATCCATTCCTCCACTGATGGACATTTAGGCTGCTTCCACCTCTTGGTTATCATGAATAATGCTGCAATGAATATGAACATGCAAATATCTCTTCACCATCCTGCTTTCAATTCCTTTGGGTATATACCCAGAAGAGGTATTGCTGGGTCATATGGTAATTCCATTTTTAATTTTATTTTTTTTAAATAGGGTCTTGCTCTGTTGCCTGGGCTAGAGTGCAGTGGCATCATCATAGCTCACTGCATCCCCAGACTTCTGGGCTCAAGTGATCTTCCTGCCTCAGCCTCCTGAATAGCTGGGACTATAGGTGCGTGCCACTAAGCCTGGCTAATTTTTCTATTTTTTGTAGAGATGGGGGTCTCTCTTTCGCTCAGGCTGGTCTCGAACTCCTGACTTCAAGCAGTCCTCCCACCTCAGCCTCCCAAAGTGCTAGAGTGATGGGTGTGAGCCACCGAACCTGTCTTATTTTTAATTTTTTGAGGAACCTCCATACTGTTTTCCATAATGGCTACACCGACAGTGCACAGGGTTCCAATTTCTCCACATCTTTGCCAACACTTGTTATTTTTTGTTTATTAATGGTGGCTATCCTAATGAATAGGAGGTGATATCTCATTGTA